TATACTCGAGACAAGAAGTTGTTCTATAATTTTGACACTTGCACAGTGGCATACATATCTCACCCACACCCACTATAATAAATGCTAAACTATATTTTATTTTATTTTTTTAGTGTGCAGGGTGGAGATAATATGAAAAGGTCAAACAGAGGACAACACACAGTATTTTCAGGAACCAACTGGGAATTCTGTCAATTTCTAAGTATATCAGTCCCAATTATACATTCTAGGTCTAGGGAAATAACCACAGGACAAATTCAGGGACCCACTGGACCTACTGTGAGTCAGATTTCAGCCAAAACTCTTATTAATCACCTGACCTCCTCCATAAATCCCTACTTTAACCGGAGGGCCACAGTGTTTTCTGGAATCTCCAGGGATCAGCATCAATTCTGAAGAAATAGACCCCAGATAATCCACCTGACCTTGGAAGGTTTGATTGTTTCCTTTCCCCCAGTGTACAGTTACCCTTGTAAAATTCTATAAAAAGGATGGGAGAAAGAATAACAGTAAAACTCAGGTGTTTTATATCAAGGTCCTTCCTCAGGGAAAACTGGCTCAAGCCTGGAAATTGGTTCACTGGCTGAGATTCCCTCTTGCCATGATCCAGTTCTTGCCTTCCACCACATGGGTTCAGGAGTCAAGTTCAGGTCACCATGGTTGGCAGCAGGGAACTTTATCTGCTGAGCCATTTCCCCTAATAAATTAATATATTAAATTAAATTTAAAAAAAAGAGAGAAACTTTAAATTATGATAAGAACTAAGTTAGAAACACAAAGAGATAACAGAACAGTTCCTATCCTGGCAAAACAGTTTAAAAATAACCATTAGAAGAGACACAGTTCAGCTGGGAAAGAATTTATCAGGAACCAGGCTCAGGAAGAACCATGTGAGTGGGTCTCAGGGACAGAAGAAAGATGCAATGTACATCTTAGGACCAAAAATCAAAAGCCAAAAACCATCCGGCAGGGTCAGAGGAACCACTCATGAGTGGGCAGAGGCTAGGTGTGACAAGGGTTGTGAATTTTACTTTTAGGGCTGTGGGAATTCATGAGGTAGTATTTAGTATACAAGTAACAAGATCCAATAAAACTTTGTTTAAAACTTTATGTGTGTGCATAGGCATGTAAGTGTGGGCACATGTTTCACAGCCCCACATATGGTCGGAAAACAATGTGGGGTGGGATGCTAGTTTCTGTCTTCTACCTTGAGACATAGGCTCTTGTTGCTCATAGCTGTGTATTTCAGGTTGGGTACCCTACAAGCTTCCAGGGAGCATCCTGGCTTTGCCTCCTGTCTCCTCTGGTAATATGATTACAGAAGTGTTGTAAGGCACCCAGCTTTTCAGAAGTTCTAGGCATCAAGCTCAGGTCCTCATGCTTGTATAGCAAGCACTTTACCCAGTGATCCTCAGCCCTCCATAGGTCTTTTTTATTTGCATTTATTTATTTAGATCTCTTATAGCCCAGATTTATCTCAAACTTACTGTATCGCCAAGAATGATATTGAACTCCTATCTGTGCCTCCAAAGCACAGACACCTTGTGGGGATAGAACCCTTTCACAGGGGTCACATATCAGATATTTACATTATGATTCATAATAGTAGCAAAATTACAGTTATGAAGTAGCAACTAAATAATTTTATGGTGGGAGTGGTCACAACTGTATTAAAGTGGCACAGTATTAGGAAGGTTGAAAACCACTGCTTTAAAGTGTTTTGATTACAAGTGTGGGTTGCCTCATTCTGACATACAGAAAGTTCAGACTGAAAGATGGCCAAGACAAATCACTGAGTTCAAGCAAAGATGACAGTATCACATGTGGTAGCATACAGCAGTCATCCAGCAGTCAAGAGGCAAAGGCAGGACAATCCTGCTTTATAGACAAGTGTGGGCTTACTGAGACTTTGCCTTATTAAAACAGGGTTGTATCTGTGCATGGTAGCACAGCCTTTAAATCCCAGCATTTGGGAGGCAGAGACAGACAGATCTCTGTGAATTCAAGGCCAGTCAGTTATATGAAGAGACCTCGTCTCAAAACAAAAATGGAGTCGAGGCCAAGGTTTCTCAGGAAAAATTAGTTTTTCCTAATTAACTTTTATATTTATTTATTTTTTGCTGGGTGGTGGTGGCACCCACCTTCAATCCCAGCACTTGGGAGGCAGAGGTAGATAGATCTCTGTGAGTTCAAGGCCACCCTGGGCTACAGAGTTGAGTTCCAGGACAACAGCCAGGGTTGTTACACAAAGAAACCCTGTCTTGAAAAGGCTAAATAAGAGAAAAAAAAAAAAAAAAAAAAAAAGAAAGAAAGAAAGAAAAAAAATTAATTCGAGACCATGTAACGTGTATTGTTTTTCCGCCTGCTGCCTCTGGTCTTGTCCTGCTGCCGCACCAGCCCTAAATAACACACAGAAACTCTGTATTGGTACAATGCTGTTGGCCCTGTTACTTGTTTCTTATCGGTTAGCTCTGCCTTAATTATTAACCCATTTCTGCTGATCTATGTATTTCTCTTACCGGGGAGCCGGCGGCATACTGCTTTCTCCAGACTCTCCATCTTGACCCTCCTTACTACTTCCTATTTCCTCCTTGTCTCCTAGTCCCTCCTATCTTCCTTTCCTACTGGCCAACAGTACTTTATTATTAACCAGTATGAGAAACTTATATACATAATGGCATCTCCCATCAAGACCATCCTGGGACAGCTAGAACTACACAGAGAAATCCTGTCCAAAAAAAAATTTTTTTTTTCTTTTTTAGATGTTTTGTGTATGAATATGCACCACCTGAGTTCCTGAGGATTATGTAACATTGTAAGCCAATATATGGGTGCCAGGAATCAGATCCAGGACCTCTGCAAGAACAATATGCACTTTTTAAGTTTTTCAAGATGGTTTGTGTAGCCTTGGCTGTCCTCACATTAGCTCTATACACCAGGCTGGTCTCAAAGAGATCCATCTGCCTCTGCCTTCCAAGTGGTGGGATTCATGGTATGGGACACTTAACAAGCTTAACAAGCACTCTTACCTGCTGAGCCATCTCACCAGCCCTCTATTTTCTTCCTATGTAGACTAGATTGGCTTCCACTTAAAACTAGTGTGCCTCGCCTCTAACTCCCCAGTGCAGATCAAAGCATGTGCCATCATGTGCATAAGCATTGTGGAAGCCAGAGACTGGTATCTTCTTTTTTCTTGTTTTGCTTTTGGTTTTTTGAGACAGGGTTTCTCTGTGTAGCCCTAACTATCCTGGAACTCACAGAAACCTGCCTGCCTCTTCCTCCTGAATGCTGAAACTAAACATGTGTGCTACTACCAACTGGCCTTTTTGCTTTTTTAAAAGACAGTCTCAATTTGTATAGCCCTGGCTGATCTTGAATTCTTACAGGTGTTGGGATTTAAGGTGCACACCTCTGTTCCTGCTGTGCTCAAAGAATCTTGAGCTCCCTGTTTCAGCTAGACAGCTGCCAATAAACTTCAGGAACCACCTGTCTCCAGGCACAAAACATTGTATATGGATTTTACATGAGTACTGGAGATGGGAAGCCTGGTCCTCATAACTGGACAACAAGCCCTTTAAGTACTGAGATGTCTCATCAGCCCTTAAATTCCACATGTTAAAAGCAACGCTAACTCCCCAGGCAGTATCAGAGCTGGTTTCCCTAATTACCTCTAATTCATTCATGACAATCTCCAAAGGGAAAATCCCAGTCCATTCCAAGACCTATCCAACTTCTATGGGGGAACCTCTGCCTTTCCATAGATGGCACCTACTCATTTCATATGTCTTGTGCTCAAGAAAGGCTTTTCATGGAGTTGGGGAGATGGCCCACAGGTTAAGAGTGATTGATATTCTTGCGGGGTACCCAAGCTGAGATGCCAACAAACATCCAGGTGGCTTACTATAACTACAGTTCCAGGGAACTCGTAATTCTCTCTGGCCTCCGTAGGAACCCACACCCATACTCACAAACATAAATACTTAAGAAATAAAATTTTGAGCCTTCCTTGACCTTCAATATATAAGCAGCATCCAGCCCTGACCTCATTCACCAGAACTAGTTCTTTGCAAAACTTGCTCCCAGGTGTTTGCCCCAGAGGAATTATGGCAGCGTATGGTGAATGGACGAATGCATCCCATTCTGGGTGCATAGCAATAACTAATACCGTGTCAAAGTGGGGTTCAGAAGCCGTGGGAAATCGTGACCTGGCTGCCCCAGTGCAGTTCTGAAACGCAGATTTTTCCTACTCACAAAGCAGGACCCAAGCCAAACCGGGAGCTGCCACCTGCAGGGGACCTGGAGGGGCGGCAAGACAGTCCCCGGGTGGCTGCTATGGGTGGTACCGGCCCGACGGCAGTTCATTGGGAAAGCACGCGCGGGGCCCACCCGGCGCCTAGGTTTTTGGGGAAGACACGGACAGAGTTCTTCTCAGCCCGGGCGGTAGGCAACCCGAGTCTGGGGTCTCGGGACGACAGCGATGCACACGCCGTTACTGTAGGTGGCCGAGGGGCTGAGGAAAGAAGTCCGCGTGTCAGGTCCGCGACAGAAAGGAGGGTGAAGGGGGACGTGCAGTCGCGAGAACCCAGGCAGACGCCGGAGGAAAGGCGGGGGCTGTTACCTGCAACATCCCGGTTGTCCATCTTGAGACTCATTCAATCCCACAATGCTCCGGCGCCACCTGAGAGGAGGGAGAGTGTGTTGTAGTGCGCTTGGTCTGATGGGAAATGTAGTCTTCCTCCGTCAATCACGTCTAACTCTTTTGGGACACCGAGAGTCGTCTCCACAAAAACGCTGGCATCAGTTCATGAAGGTGTGTCACTCCCAGTCACGATGATGCAGAGGCGTCGTCCTCTCCTCAGAGTCTCCCTCAGTCTCAGCCACTGCGATACACACTATAAATCCCAGAAGACCTTGCGCATCAGTTCTCGCGAGAACTGCGGAGACCTCCCCTAGGCCCCGCCCTTCGAAGTGCTTCCGCCTCTCTGTGGAGGCGGCTTGTTGTTGTGCAGGCCAAGATGGCGGCACAGGCGGCGGCGGCGGCGCAGGCGGCGGCGGCAGCGGCTCAGGCAGCACAGGCCGAAGCGGCCGAGTCGTGGTACCTGGCTCTTCTGGGTTTCGCCGAGCACTTCCGCACGTCCAGTCCGCCCAAGATCCGCTTGTGCGTTCACTGCCTGCAGGCTGTGTTTCCCTTCAAGCCGCCTCAGCGGATCGAGGCCCGTACGCACCTGCAGCTCGGCTCCGTGCTTTACCACCACACGAAGAACAGCGAGCAGGCGCGCAGCCACTTGGAGAAGGCGGTGAGCGTGCGGGCTGGCCGGGCGGACCACGGGGTGTTGGGGGCGCGACCCTCTTCGCCTCCATCGCGCTTGAGGCTTCCGAAGGCCTCGCCCTCACCTATGGTGGTGACAGACAAGGCTCCACCACGCCCTCTCACCCAGGAACTGGGAAAGTTGTCCCTTAGCAATAACACGGTTCCTGCATCGGGGAATCTCATGGTCGGATGGTTGTGGGATCATTGCCCAGAGTGTCAGCCTGGGAGCTCCTACCTAAAATGACTGGAGATAAGTAGGAAGAAATTTAGGCTCCCCTTGAGACGTAAAAGTGAGGTCCCAGGAAATCTGGGAGATGCCATTCCTGGTACCTGGACCTGGAATTCTGACATTTAGTTGTCTGGGTCTCGAGTCTCTGTCCTTTTTGCCAGTGTTATTGGGGGAGGTGAGACCCTGAGCCTGGGCTTGAACATTGATGTCTTGTGAGGAAGCGAAGAGGCAATTGCTCCCCCCGGATTTGGAGGTCAGTCTCACCATTGAAGCTGCCTTCCTCCTCCGTGTACTAGTCTATCTTTGAAGGAATCCCCATTCCACTCCAACTTGTCTTGTGACTTTTTGATGCTTCACAGAATTCGACGAGGTAGCTGACATTCCTCCTCTTAATAAATTATGTGGCTGTAGTCTTGTTCTCATGTAGTCTGTGTCCCTTTCACACCTCCTCTTCCTTTTAACCTATTTCTGTTCTGATTGGAACAGTCATCTCAGATGTTTAAATGCACTGACCGGTGGTCAGCCTAAGTAAATTGCCTTCAGGAGGGTTCCAAAACGCTTGTTTCCCAGGGTGTGCAGTTAGCACTTGTAATCCATACTAACTAATAAACTTCCTTAGGGAGGTGAAGTGATTTAGCAAAGATCACTCTGTGAGGTTTTGTTTTTGTCTTGCTTTGTTTTTTGGAGGAAAGTTTTACTGTATAGCACAGAAGGGCCTTAGAATTCCTGACCACCCAAGTACTGGGATTATAGCTATAGTTGCACAGGCCTGTGATGTGAGCATTCATGGTAGAGGAAGGGGATAATAAACACAAGACTAGCCTGGGCTACATAGCAAGTGTGCCTCAAAGAAAGTAAGTAGGCCTGGTTAGAAGACTTAGTGGTTAAAGGCTTTTGCAGCACAAGACTGATAACCTGAGTTCAAGCCTTAGAACCCACAGTGAAAGATGAGAACTGACTCCCAAATGTCTTCTTACCTCAGTGTGCACCTGTACTCACATCTCTCTCTCTCTCTCTCTCTCTCTCACACACACACACACACACACACACACACACACACACACACACGTTAAATTTAAAAATAAAGTGAAGATCGGGTGTGATGGTGGATGCCTCTCCCAACACTCAGGAGGCAGGCATCTTTGTGAGTGTTATAGAACATCCAGGGCTACATAGAAGACTCTGTCTCAAAAAGAACTGATGGTGATAATAAAACAAAGCAATTGGGGGAAAAAAAAAACCAAAAACAAAAACATGAGCTCAAAATCTGTGGATTTTAAAAAAGATTTAAATATTTTTAATTGTGTGTGGGTATATGTACATTAATATTGTGCCCACTGATGTCAAAGACTTTAAGTCCCCTGGAATTAGAGTCTGAGTTCTATGTGAGCTGCCTAGTGGAGGGGCTGGTAACAGAACTCTGGTCCTGTGTAGAGCGGTGTGCTGTTAACTGCTGAGCCATCTCTCTAGCCCCCTCATTTTAATGATCACCAGTTCTCATACTCGAGCATTGTTGTGTTAGTGAAGTTTTTTGTTGTTTTGTTTTGCTTTTTCTTTCATTTATCAAGGAGATACTTGTTCTCCTCCAACCAAGTGTCAATACGGCTATTAGTGTAAGAGTTGTGGATACTGGACCAGGGGAAGGTATAGTGTTGATGTCAGGCTAATTGGAAGAGTGGGGATGAGGGACTCTCTTATTTGTGTGAGTGACATTTGAATGGTGTGAGCTAATGAACCACTCAGGACTTCACCAACAAGGAGTGCCTGTGGCCATCAGTGCATTGGAGATGCCAGGGCAGTAGTGAGTGAGGTGACCCTGCTAAGTGCCGACTTCAGTGTAGGTGCAGGCTGGAGGGCCTGGCTGCTTCTGAAACTCTTCTTTCTTGTTCAGGACAGCTAATCCCACCACCTCCCTCACTCCCTTGTTTCTGTGGGTGTCAGTGTGTCCTCATATTTCATCTGCTCAGCCCTGTGCAATCATGCCTGCAGTTACTCTCTGTTAGCCCTTTGCTTTGAGAACAGTAACTGAAACCCTTAACCCTCGTGAAATATTTTCCCTTAATGTAATAGAAACCTGACTCCTTGAGAGGTCTTCCACAGAACCACATGGTGCCTTTCACAGGTCAGCTCAGTATCTGGAAAACCCTGTTAATCTCAGCTGCTCCTCCATTCAAAATCTGAGTGAGTTTTAGTTAAAGTGGCATGTATAGCCCTTGTTTTTGTTTTTGGAGAGACAGTGTACATAAGCCACTGGCTGCTGCCAAGCTGTATTACTAGCCCCTTCATTTATTCTTATTGCACTTTCCCCCAAAGCACAGCTATGAGCTTTTATTCTTTCCTCTTGGACCCAATGAGTAAAGAATCATAGTATAAATGAGCATAAACCTGTAGTCCCAGCTACTTAGAGTCCTGAAACCTGGATTCAATGAGCCCAGGAATTCCAGGCTAGCCTGAGCCACAGGACAAGATGCTCTTTTCTTTAAGATAGAAAGTGCTGGGATGAGAGATGTGCACCATCACACCTGGCTGGTTGGTTCTTAGATTTGAAATTGTGCATTCTGTTCCCTCCTTCCTGTGCTGGCCTTCATCAGCTTGTCTACACTGTAGATGATGCCACCTGTTAACCCTGTACTGTAAGTCCCCATTAGCAGATGTCTCAGGTATCAACAGCTCTTAAATAGGTGCCTGATGTCTAGTCACAGTCCCTGTGTCATTCATTCACCTTATATAGTATAGCAACTCTTATCATAAGGCAGTGTAAATTCAAAGCAATAAGGTACTTTGAGAAAGAGACCATGATCCCATAATATTTTGTCAGAATTTGATTGGGTATGTGAGAAAGCTGGGTGGGAATATTGGTCTTCCTTTTTTTTTTTTTTTTAATGTGGATTGGTGCTTTTCCTGCATGTATGTATGTCGGTGGGAGGGTGTCAGATCCTCTGGAACTAGAGTTATAGACAGTTGTGGGTGCTGGAAATTGAATCCCAGGTCCTGGAATAGCTGTAAGTGCTCTTAACCACTGAGCCATCTCTCCATCCCTGGGAGTGTTTGTCCTATACTGGCTTCCTAGCAGCACTTGGGGTCTTGGGAAATAAGAGGAGGCCAGAAATTAACCCCTCCCAGGCCTTTGTGTGTGTGTGAGAGAGAGAGAGGAGGGGAGAGAATAGGGGTATAAAGCTGTCCTCTTTAGAATCTTAGTGGGATGTGGACATGTGGGAATTCTCACTGCTCAGAAACACTCCAGCAAGCAACAATGGTCTGAACGCTCATCTTCACAGACGTTATTTTCCTTGACCTGAAAGCTCATGTGTGAGACTGCATTCTGTCACACAGATCCTGCTATTCCTGTGTGGATTTGACCTTCAAAGCCAAAATGTGGCTTCTGTTCATTTTCACACCTAGCCTTCAAGCAGATAGGTTCATTTCAGTGGTCTGCCCATCTGCTGTGGGACTAAAATAAAAGACAGTGAATGGTGCCAGTAGTTTTGTACCTGAGTTTTAAGACAAGAATGGAAACTGAATCTGGAGATCACCAATTGGATAGACTGGCTGTCCAAAAAGCCCAGGAATCTTCGGTTCTCTGCTTTCCAGAGCTGGAGTCACAAGCCTGCATTGTAACACCTTGCTTATGTGGGTGCTGGGCATCAGAATACAGGGAGTACCTGCTGGCTGAGCATCTCCCAGCCTTCTTTTATTTAATTATGGTGCTAGGTATTGAACCTAGGCTCTTGCCACATGCTTGAGCATGCATCCTACCACATACATTCCACTGGCTTTGCCAGCCCCAGACTTTGTTCTTTGGATCTCATACTTGTAAGGAGTTCGGTTTTTCCACCCGCCGCCTGGTATTGTCCTGCTGCCGCGCCAGACCCAAATAACACACAGAGACTCTGTATTCGATACAATACTGTTGGCCCTGTTTACTTGTTTCTTATCGGCTAGCTCTGTCTTAATTATTAACCCATTTCTGCTGATCTATGTATTTCTCTTACCGGGGAGCCGGCGGCATACTGCTTTCTTCAGACTCTCCATCTTGGCTCCCTTTTTACTACTTCCTATTTCCTCCTTGTCTCCTAGTCCCTCCTACCTTCCTATTGGCCAACAATGCTTTATTATTAACCAGTATGAGAAACATATACAGAATGACATCTCCCATCATCTCCTCTTTTCTGTCTAAATAAAAAGGGTTTTAACCTTAACATAGCAAAATATATCACATAACACTTATCCAATAAGAATCACAGTTAACAATATTTAGTCCATTAACATTTAGCAAGATTTGAAGAAAATATTCCATCATCTATTTTATCTTTGTGAGTTAAAGTCCTATATGTAATTTATCTTTAAGCTTAACTAAGGAAAACTATAACCATAACTATCTGTCTTCAACTCCATCAAAGACCACAGAAGGATAGTATATAAACTTTAGAAATGACAGAGACAACTCACTGCCTCATCACCTGAAGTTCTTTTGTAATCTTCCATCTTCAGCCCATAGGCCATAGTGTGTCTGGCAGACTCTTCAGCAATGCAGGAAACTTTAAACTGTCTTCTTGTATTCGCAGTTTATCAGTCACTTTTCTCTGTGTCCTGCATACTGTCTCACAGACTCTTCCATAAAGCAGGATCTCTGTAGCAATGTCCATCTTGAATCAGCAGTCACTTTTCTGTGGGTCCTGCATGTCCAGTTTATACAGCATAAAGTCAAACAGTCCAGACAAGAGCAGTATCTTGTCCACATGGCTAGTCTTGCCATATTGAAAGCAAACTCCATAATGTATTTCTTCGATGTCCATCTTCCATCTTCCTTTCTGGTGCAGGTGGTATTGCCAAGAGCAATTATGTCTCACTGTCACGAAAACCCTAAACCACTTTAAATGCCATATTCTGTAGGTCTTTGAAAGGTTTGAAGAATGTCTATTTATCTCAAATACATCTCTGTGTATCTTGAAAACCTAACTAACTTAACTCTAAGTTTTGACTATCATAGGTAATTATCTATAATCTGTAGTACATTATACAGTATGTTTCTGAATGAACTATATAAACACAATACCTAAACAAAAGGAGAATATACACATCACAAAATTGACCTTAAATTGTATCAATAAATGAAAATCCATTCCAAAACAAAGTATTCATATCTATACCATAATTCCCTTTTTACCTTTAAAAAGAACTGGCTGTGATCATTAACCATTTATACCCAAGTCCATTTAAATGAAAACAAACATTTATAAATAATATTTGGGAATTTGGGCGTCGTTCTTTCCAAACTACTTCCTGCTGACAGGGGGCGCTGTCATGGGGGATCCTGAGAAGAAGCAGAAATCTTGGCTGTAGTCTTCTGCAAGGCTTCTTTGTTCAGCTGTTTTGTATGTAGGATCACCTGGTACTCTGTTTCAGGCAGTCTGGCTTGCTCAAACCACATTAGTCTGGAAGGAATCCACATCTTTTCATTTTCTGTGGAAACAAAAATAGAAATCCTTTTCCCCAGTAACTTGTCCTTGAACTTAAATTTTTGAGTCAAAGCATTTTTAAAATACATAAATTGAATTAATCCAGCAGCATTTCCTTTATCAGTTGTTGTTATTTTCTCAGCAGTCAAACAATGTAGAGACAACACAATAGCATACAGTAACCAGATTCTCTCTGAGCTTTTCATCTTTACGTGTCTTTATTATTACTCTGTTTATTTTACTTTTATTTTTTTATTTTTTGACATAGGGTTTCACTGTGTAACTCTTATCTGTCCTGGAATTTACTCTGCATACCAGGTTTACTTTGCAAATCACAGAGATCTGCTTGCCTCTGTCTCCCAATTGCTGGGATTAAAGGTGTGTGCCACCACACCCAGTTCCTCTTTGTCTATTTAAAACCATTTTATTTTTCATGTCTACGTATATTTTAAAACACACTGTAAACCTTTAGAGGTTTTTTCTTAATATGAATCTGTCTTACTGTAAATCTTTATCTTTTTCTGTCCACGAGTCTTTTATCTGGTAAACAACAACATTGCTGAAATGAAAGTCATAGTTGTTTCTGTCAAGGTTTGCCAAAGATGGCGGCGACTATTTTACCGCCAGCAGTGAAAGCTGTGCTCACTGCCTTGGTCTGCATGCTGCCGGCTTGGAGATGTGAGCACTGCCATTGCCAGCTCTGATACACACCAATAAATTGTTAGCAGAGTTATTTAAAAGCTGTGCGGTTTTTTGCCTTTTATGCTGAGTCAGGAATCTTCCCTTAAAGGAGCTGCGCAAATATCTGCTTGTCTCTAGCAAAGCAGAGTTCAACTGAGAAAAATGCTGCTACCAAGAAACCTTGCTTGTCTCTGTTCTTTTGTTTCTAAAACCCTTTTTTAACTTTTCTTAAATTTTAAGTGGAAGTTCTTAATAGCCACGTGGGCGCCATTTGTAAGGAGTTCGGTTTTTCCACCCGCCGCCTGGTATTGTCCTGCTGCCGCGCCAGACCCAAATAACACACAGAGACTCTGTATTCGATACAATACTGTTGGCCCTGTTTACTTGTTTCTTATCGGCTAGCTCTGTCTTAATTATTAACCCATTTCTGCTGATCTATGTATTTCTCTTACCGGGGAGCCGGCGGCATACTGCTTTCTTCAGACTCTCCATCTTGGCTCCCTTTTTACTACTTCCTATTTCCTCCTTGTCTCCTAGTCCCTCCTACCTTCCTATTGGCCAACAATGCTTTATTATTAACCAGTATGAGAAACATATACAGAATGACATCTCCCATCACATACTCTTTTGTGTTTGGACCTGCAGTGTTTGTTACCATTCTTAAATACTCCCAATTTGAAAGCCACAAAGAAGAAAGGAATTGTTTTCTGCATCTATAGTTTTTCTTTGGCCTGGCTGAGGATACCATAATGATGGCTTGCTTTCTCTAAGTTACTTTGTTAGGTGGGGCTGGCTGGATTGATTGATCTCAAGCTCCTAGGCTTGAGTGACCTTCCCAGGCCTCCATAATGGTCTGCACATGTGTGCTGCACCCACCTTGACTGCTCTGTGATGACAGGTTTGCTCATCTGACCTGGAAAGCAGCTCTTGCTCCACTGGTCAGGCAATGTTATTCTTTGCTTAGCCTGGGAGTCTCTTCCTTTTCTCTTGGTGTCTGAGGCTCAGATGGAGCAACTCTTTCTCCTGGATTTTGACCATGTGCTACTAGATTCCATGCTGTATAGACCTGGAATTGAAACCCATGCTCAGGCTTCGACCAAGGTGCAGAGCAGCTCCATGAACTACACCTATGCTTCTTCCTGTTTTCCTTTGTGCTCTCTCTCCTCTCACTCTATCACCTTTGACTTCAAGAACTAAAGTCAGCTTTGCCTTTCATTCTGACTCACCCCTACTTGCCTCTTCCAGTTCATCCTGTCTTCAAAATACTGTTGTGTTCTTTATGTTTATGTGCCAATGTTGTATTAAGCTTGTCTCAATAGATCCTCAGCAAACCAATGAGATAAAGACCACCTGACTTGCTTTTTCACATTGTTTAGCATGTTCATGTGTGCAGGTTACAGGACAGCTTGTGGGAATCTGCTCTCTCAGGTGCTCAGGCTAGGTGGTATGCACCCACTGAGCCATCTTGTCTACCCCTCCTGATTTCCTTATGCCCACACTCAGGTGTTGGCTGAAAGCTGTTCCAGAGCTTTGGCTGCCCATAGCAGGACATTAGAGAAGCTCCCTCTGTTTCCAGTCATGATTGTGGCAATCAGTAGCTATCTGTACTCAGGTTGGTGAGTTAGGAGACCTGTAGTTTTTTTGGATTTTTTTTGTTTTGTTTTGTTTTTTTGTATTTGTTACTTTGTTTTTTATGAATAAGAAGCCTGTAAACTCTGTGTGCTGTGTGCTGATTTATCCCTATAATCCCTGCACTTTGGAAACTGAGACAGAAAAAAACAAAAATGCTATTAGTTAAAGGCCATCATGACCTTGCCTCAAAAACCAAAAATCATGAAGCTGGGCAAAACTCACTGAGTGAAAACTGTTGCTGCTGAAGAATGAGGACCTGAGTGCAGATCTCACTCAGTCTCTATGTGAAAGATCTGGTCTGTGCACATGGCCCCACTCTGACCCCAGGGCTGTGCCTACTGAGAACTAGAGCTTGCAAGCTGCTATCTTACTCCTGTCTCAAGGGAATAAGGGAGAGAGTGATAGAGCATGATGGAAAGAACTGGCTTCTTGCTGGGCAATGGTAACGCACACCTTGAATCCCAGGACTGGAGAGGCAGAAGCAGGTGGGTCTCAGTGAGTTTGAGGCCAGTCTGGTCTACAAAGAGAGTTCCAGGACAACCTGGATTGTTACATAGAGAAACCCTGTCTTGAAAAAACAAAACAACAATAAAAAGAACGGATTCCCACAAGCTGCCCACTGACCTCCACATTCACACCATGGCCTATTGAATGCATGTGTGCTTGTACATGTGTAACAAATCATATAAATAAATAGATTAAAAAAAATAACCTGGGGAGTACTTTGATCCTTCCCCACTGGGTCAGGCTTCATACCCAAGGGTGGATTCCTAGTCGCCACTGATGCACAGGTGGTGCTAAGCCACCAACCTTGCAGCCTTAGCTAGTCCAGGTGTGATCCCTTTTCTTTCTAGATTTTCTGTGTCTGGAGCATCCTGCTTCCCCTTTCCTACAGAGCCCTGATCTCAGATCCTACTCTAGCCTTCAAAGCCCAGCACTAAGTGCCTCATCTTGTGTAGCCCTTTGACACAGTGGCCCAGTCCACCAGTTTACACACCTGTCAGGCTCCTCAAATGTTAGTATTTGGTTACTGTTTGTTGGACCCTAGGTTGACAGGTCAGTATTAGGTATGTTCTTAGGAAGTCCCTGAACATTTCAATAACTGTGCTTTGCATGACACCTTAGCTAGGAGCCTGTTGGAACATGTAGCTTGAGACACAGTTGTTCCCTAAGTCAAAGCTGACCCACTGAATGCCTTTATTTATTTACTTATTTATTTGGAGACAGAGTTTCACTGTTAGCTTTGGCTAGCTGTGTAGACCAATCTGGCCTCAAACTCATAAAGATTCACCTGCTTCTCCCCCCTCCCCGGTGTGGGATTAAAGGTGTACACTACCATGCTTCTGTTTGTGTGTGCACCTGAATGTAAGTGCCTGTGGAGGCTAAAGGTGTTGAGAAGCTGGAGTTATGGATGGTTGTGAGCTGCCCAGCATGATGGGTTCTGGGAACCAAGCATGAGTCCTCTGCAAGAATAGTAAACACTCATAACCACTGAACCAACTCTCCAGGGGTTTTTGTTGTTTTGATTATGTTTTGGTACACTCTTCTTCTGAGGCTAGCTTTGCCCACTTCAAGCCTCTGTGACATGCTACTTCTTCAGGAGGGACTTGTCCCTATAGAACAACCTCTTCCCCAAGTGTAACTCACTCTTTGGGCAAAGCTTTGTTGAATGTGCCAGACCATTACCAGCACTGCTGAAGTGTGAATATGGCCAAGTTACCCTGGGATTCCCTCCTGGAGTATGTGGGAGCACTGGCTCCTTGTCTGATGTTAGAAGGAGAGGTCCCCTCTTTGTTAGGCATCTACAGCTTCCATTACTCCTGACCAGATTGCAGGAAAAACAAGTGCACACACACTTTCCCACGCTGCTCTTGATGATGGGCACACTGTGCCAGCCCCAGCTTGAACTGCTCATCTAGGTACCAAGCATGTGACTCAAAATTAATTAATTAATCCTTTTTTTTTTCTCTCTTTCAGTGGTTGATATCACAGCAAGTATCCTTTTCTTGTGTTTGTTGGGGGGTGCCCATGCTGGGGATGGAACCCAGGACCTGGAGCATGCTAAGAAAGTGTCCTGTACTGTACTCTTGAGGGAATGTTCTACTTGAATAAAAATCCATGGTAAAAGCTAGAAACATCCCCCTTCCCTGGCATACCATGTGCCCTAGCTGCCCTGGAAGCCATCCACCACTCTGGGCAGCAAGATCCTCATCCTATCCCAAGTTGGCCTTCTCTGCTTGTCCTGCAGCATAAAGCAGGAGGGCTCACTTGGAGTTGTGGCCCTTTTTAAAGAGATGTCTTTGCACTGGGTGGTGGAGCACACCTTTAATCCTAACACTTGGGAGGCAGAGGCAGGTAGACCTCTGTGAGTTCAAGGCCAGCCTGGTCTATGGAGTGAGTTCCAGGACAGCCAGATCTACCCAGAGAAACCCTGTCTCCAAAACACACAAAGAAAAAAATGTCTTTGCATTGTACTTCCTTACCTGGACTTCTTCAGATCCCACAGTTTGAAGATGTTAAATTTGAGGCGGCAAGCCTATTGTCAGAGCTGTATTGTCAAGAGGTGAGAGAACATGTTACTAGTTCTGAAAGCAGAGTATCTCCCTGTCTCCTGGGCCTACCGGGAGATTATGGTTCCCAGTTGGGTAGAAGTTCACAATGTATTTCACCCTCAGAGACCCTAGGAACTCACACCATGATTGTTGCAGACACCAGAACTAGAAGGTGCTCAGCCCTTCTGTGGAGTGCTGCAGCCTTTGTACAGAGCTTGTGCATGGCTCGCTCACATGATCTTATTTCTGATTACTTCAGGGTTAGGGACAACAGCGCCTCACTTGGCTAGACAGACAGTGCCACTGTCTGTCCCTCTGTCCTCCCAGTGTATACTGCCTACTATAATAGAAGTGACTCAGGACCATTGTCCAGTCTTTTTGGTGGGGGGGTGGGGTTCAAGACAGAGTTTCTCTGTATAGCCCTGGCTGTCCTAGAACTCAGCTCTTTAGACCAGGCTGGCCTTGAGATCTGCCTCCCGACTGCTGGTATTAAAGGTGTGTGCCATCCAACGTCCAGTTTGTCCATTATTCTTTAAGGTGTAACTTTTCCTTGTGTCTTTTTTTTTTTTTTTTTTTTGTGGTTCTGGGGCCACCAGGGCCTTATGCCTGCTAAATAGACACCCTCTAGCACCAAACTGTACCTCCACCCTTCAGTTTTACTTATTTGTGTGTGTGTGTGTGTTTTGTGTAATGTGAGTGTACCACATCCTTGCCAGTTGTCTAGAGTTTAGAAGAGGATATGAGATCCCATGGAACTGGAGTGACAAATGGTTGCAAGCTGCCAGTCTCACTATGTATCTACCTCCTACCCCTAGCTGGCCTAGAATTTGCTGTGTAACCTAGACTGGCTTCAAATCTATGTCTCTTGCCTTAGCTTCCTCCTTACTGAGATCCCAGATGATGTTGCCTACCATACCTGTCTGAATGAGAAACTATTATATTTTATATTCTAAACTTTTTGTTTTGGTTTTTTAAGTTTTTGATTTTTCCTTTTTTTTTTTTTTTTTTTTTTTTTTTTTTCTTCAGTTTTTGGGTTTTTTTCTTGTTTTGGTTTGTTTTCTGAGACAGGATCTCTCTACATAGCTCTGGCTGTCCTCCAACTCACTATGTAGATCTGCCTCCCTAATGCTGAAATTAATGGCATGAGCCACCATGCTTGGCTTTTATACTGTAAATTAAAAAAAAAAAAAAGGAACAGTGTAGCTTAGGTTGTAGCTTAGGCTGGCCTTGAAACTCATAAGCAGTCCTGCTTCAGACTCCTAAGCGTTGATAAGACAGGTGTGAGCCAACCTATCAAGAAGTGATTTCAGAAGCCACCTAGATACTCCCTAAGCAGCAAGTACTAGCATTCCCATCTTACCCCATAAAGTGGCAGCTACTGTATCAGTGTTCAGCTGCACTGCCAGCTTGTGCTCCTCCTTGAACTTGAAACTGTTTCCTTTCAGAACTCTGTGGATGCAGCAAAGCCACTGCTGCGGAAAGCCATTCAGATCTCACAACAGACACCATATTGGCATTGCCGCCTGCTCTTCCAGCTAGCCGTGAGTACAGGAGCGAGTGAGACCTTGGGGCATGAACTCAAGTACACAGGCTCCCCTTGGGGGCCTCCTGGCTGCCATACAGGGATAGGTTGCTCCAGTCTGTCAGTCACCTCTTCTGTATCCTGTCTGCATCTTTTTCTCTAGGGCACCTGGATGACCCCTTACTGGTGTTGCCTGCCCTTGACCTGGCCATCTGTCATGTCCCCTGTCTCCTGTGATACAACCCTATTGCCCATATAGCCAAAGATACTAGACTTTAGAACCTTTCCCATGAGATCTCTTTAGGTTTCCATGCTCACATTATCTCCTTGCCCCTCCCATGTGCTGTTGCCAGCAGCTGAGGAAGTGGGCTGGACAGCTGCATGACACTGTGTGCCAGGGAGCTGAGCTCTATAGCAAGGGTATGCATGTGCCCTTCCAGGGATCCACCAGACTTGGTCTCTCTTTCAGTTGTTCAGGCTTCTGGATTTGAAGCATCCTTATTCCCTTGCTCCTGAGGGAGTCCTTCCTAGTAACCCGCCTGGTATGCACTGGGTCTTCCCAAGAGCCTAGACTGCTGATTGAGTGCACCAGTAAGCTGAAGTGACAGCATGAGGCATGTATACTCAGCTGTATACCTCAGCAGTTAGTGTTGGTGGCTGCTTTGGTGCTTGAGCTCCAAACCAACACGGCAGTGACTGTGCTGATGTAGGTGGCTCAGCCACACTGAGGCAAGTTGAGGACAGGCACTGGCAGCCATGGTCATTGCTTTTTCTCATCTTCAGCAACTGCACACACTGGAGAAGGACCTGGTATCAGCCTGTGATCTCCTGGGCGTGGGGGCTGAGTATGCCCGAGTGGTGGGATCTGAATATACACGGTAGGCTCCTCCCATCCCTTTCCTCCTGCCCTCTAACTTAGAAGGAGCTTGGCTGTTCTGCTACTGACTGTAAACATAGCGCCTTACTGTATGAAGGTGGCCTCTGATGTAGTGAGCCATGCAGTTAATCCTAGCAATTGGCCCATCAATTTATGAGACATGAGTGGCTGGCTGGGAAAGCAGGGGCAGTGTCTCATTGGTAGAGTTGAGTTGGTACTGACAATTTTTTCTCTGTTATTTTTGAGACTAGCTATCACTACTATAGCCTGGGATGGCCCCAACTACTTGCTTTAATCTTCCTGCCTCAGCCTTCCCATGGGATGATAGGTTTGCACTTCCACATACAGCTTCCAAATCTCTTGAAATGGAAAACACTGATAGGATTTGTTTAGCCACAGGCTTTATTGCACAGGTGCCTCCTCACCAACCAAGTGTGATTCAGTGTCCACCTGTCTGTATGCTGCACTTGTTGAGAAATGAGGCAAAGTAAAGTGGGCTAACATTGGTATGAGAGGCCAGCTTGCCCTGTTGTGGGAATTCCTGTCCTCAGTCAAGGAAGGGGGCTAGGAGAGGCTATAGAATCATTGGTGAAGGAGGAGAGAGGAGGACATTGACTTGTTCCAAGGTTACAAATCCACGCCCTTAATCCTGAGAGGGACCTGGGTGGGGAGGAAAGCCCAGTTCACAGGTGAGGTGGTGGCCTCCCAAGCCAGTTCCTGCTTCATGCATCCTTTGTGCCAGGCCCACATCTGCTGTGTTGGAGCATTAGGGTGACTTGAGAGTGCTGTCTTCTACTCTGCCCTTTGGTAATGCTCACAGGTGTGTCTGCACCATGTGAAACAGTAGCTACTGAAGCTAGAGTGTGGTAAATGAAGGAGCATCCCAAGTTAAAGGGTGAAGCAAGTAGAGAAGTGGATCAATGGTTAAGAGCAATCCAAACCCAGATCCACTCCTCAGTACCTACATCAGGAAAGTCATGGTTCCCTATAACTCCCAGGCATCTGACAGGCCCTGTGGCTTCCTGGGGCAGCATCTGGGTGCAGGTACACTTGTAAATGTAAGCACACAATAGACATAAACAAAAATAAATTATATATTTGAGACAGGGTTTTTTTTTTTTTTTTTTTTTTTATGTAGGTCTGGCTGTCTAGGAATTCCATTATGTAGACCATTATGGCCTTGAACTCACAGGTCCACCTGTCTCTGCCTCTTGGGTGCTGGGATCAAAGGTGTGCTCTACCATACCCAGTTAATGTTTGTTAAGTTCAAAGTTAAGCTGGGAATATAGTGCAGTAGAGAGTGTAAGACCCTAAGTTCAATTCCCAGCATGTCCACCACCCTGAAAAAATGTTCATGGTCATCCTCAGCTACCTGGACTACATGGGAACCAGCCTCGCGCCCTCCCACCCATGTGTATAAATCAGACCAAAATGCAGCACTCTAAAGAGTTTTGTTATTAACTGCTATTAAGCACACCTTGGGGGGGGGGCAACCTTATTGATCTCCAGGGTTCCTGGTGTCTTTCAAACCTAATGTCTGGTCTCTTTTCCAGGGCACTATTCCTGCTCAGCAAGGGGATGGTAAGTCAAGGCTGGATGGGTGCAGCCATACTGCAATCCACTTAAGCAAGGGTTCTGCACTGGCAGGCTTCATTTGGGGTCCTGAAGTTTCAGGCAGTAGGTGTGCTATTGAGGAAGCCTGCTGTGAAGCCATTTGTACAGTTTCTTTGTTTATCCAGGTTTGTTTATTTGAGAAAGGGTTTTTCTGGCTCTGGCTGTCTTGAAATTCTCTTATCAGGCTGTCCTCAAACTCAACAGAGATTCACCTGCCTCTGCCTCCCAAGTGCTGAGATTAAAAGCAAGCATTGCCATTCCTGATATCACTGCACGAAGTCTTGCCCTGGCCCAGGGGATATCTTCAGCTGTTAGGCTGGTGACAGTGATAGCTCCTTCATCATCCCTTCCAGTTGCTGCTGATGGAGCGCAAACTGCAAGAGGTGCACCCACTGCTCACGCTGTGTGGGCAAATCGTGGAAAACTGGCAGGGCAACCCCATCCAGAAGGAGTCCCTTCGTGTCTTCTTCCTGGTGCTGCAGGTGACCCACTACCTGGATGCTGGGCAGGTATGTGGTCTCTCTGGCAGGGGGAGAGCTTGCTCATGATAGGTCTTATTATTGCATGTTTGTGAGTGCACTAACACAGATGCAGGTGTCCTGCTCCAGCATAGGATCGGTTCCATCACATGTTATGATGTGACAAAGAGGTAGCCTTGCTCAGAGGATGGGTTTATTCTAATGGCCCTGTTCTTATTTGAGTAAGAATGTATGGCTCCACACCCATTAAGTGCACACATGTTTAGAGGTCTCTAGGGCAGCTCATGGAAGCCATGGGAACAAAACAGAGTCGTGCAGCAGGCTCCCTTTCCTTATCTCGCAGGAGGGTCAGTAGGGTAGGTAAGACCCGACACCTGAGTTTATGTGATGGCCTCAGCCTACGATAAATGGGAGCCACCTGGCCTGCCTTGACCTTTGCCTGTTCCTGTGGGCTCACTGGACACACGCCCTACATGGTACTGGGCCAGGGTTAATGAGGACAAGGAAATACTCAGTAAACTATTATTAGTAAGGTCCTTAAGTTCTTGTTGGGCCCAGCTCCTTACACAGCATGGAAAAACATGGCAGTTGTGTGTTGTTCCTGACTGCTGAGAGCCACAACTATCCTGAGAGACTCGGGATGGCAGACAGGAGGGTTTGTAGAAGCTACAATGCCAGCAGGGCTTCTGTTTGTTGGATGCCACTGCTGGACCTCTTCTGGCCTCCTATTGTGAGGCCTGGCTGCTTGGAGGCCAAGTAACTCAGCCAGGATTTTGTTTCCTGCCAAAGAGCTAGCCTAGACCTGGAGAGGTGGGCTCCTCCATTAGGAGGGGAGGCCCCATATAGGAGCAAAGCAAGATTGCTAGACTTCCTGCAGTGTGGTGCAGAGGCATGTTGTGCTGCAGGTGAAGAGTGTCAAGCCATGCTTGAAGCAGCTGCAGCAATGCATCCAGACCATCTCCACACTGCATGATGATGAGATCCTGCCCAGCAACCCTGCTGACCTCTTCCACTGGCTGCCCAAGGAGCACATGTGCGTGCTCGTCTACCTGGTGAGTCCCGCCACCCTGGGCCTGGGATGGGAGAGGGCCCTGTGACCACCACCCACTCTTCTTACAGGTCACAGTGATGCATTCAATGCAGGCTGGCTACCTAGAGAAGGCACAGAAGTACACAGACAAGGCACTCATGCAGTTGGAAAAGCTCAAGAGTAAGTACCATCTGAGCGGGGACCCCAAGCAACCCCAGCAGCTCCAAGTTCAGGACCTAGCTCTCATCGACCTGTTCAAATCCTCCCGTGTATGGATTCTGTGCACACACTTGTCTTTCATGTTTCCTGGGATGCATGTGGCCTTAGTATTGATCTAGATCTCTTTGTCCCTGTGCCCTCCTCAGCACTGCTAAAGGGAGAAGTAAGCTGGGGACAGCAGAGTCTGTGGAACTGCCTCTCATTCCCCTTTTTTTCCACCCACAGAAAGCTATACAGGGCTATCAGGAGCTGTCTGGGGTCCCCATAGCTTGCATCCTGGCCCAGGCATGCACAGTTCAAGACATCTTGAAAAACCCACTCCCCAGGTTCTTGAGTTCTTAGCAGGGGTGGCACAATGCTTAGCCCAGAATATTCTATGGTTTTTAGTACTTGGGATTCAGGCCAGGACCTGTGCTTCCCAAGCCCCTGCTTACCTGAGCACCACCCAGTGAGGATTTCTCTGTCTTGGGGCACTTCACATTGGCCTTGGCTTGAGCTTACATCCTTAGCTAGATGAGAAGAGGTTGTAGCAGGGATGATGTGGGGAGGGCCCTGTGGAACTATGCCTGTGTGCTTACCCCTGCCTCCTGCTGTTCCCAGTGCTGGACTGCAGCCCCATCCTGTCATCTTTCCAAGTAATCCTGCTGGAGCATATCATCATGTGCCGTCTCGTCACAGGTCACAAGGCCACTGCACTACAGGAGGTAGCAAGCACAGAGTGGGACTGTGGGATCCAGCCTGTGTAGGAGCACAAGTCTCAAGAGGGGAGGGTAAAGTGACCTCATTGTCACTGCTCTAGCATAGTGAGCTGTAGAATTTAATGTAAAGCCAATAAACTGGCCCCCTAAAACTGGCTTGCTCAGGGGACATTGTAATGTGACTGGGATCCATGTCACCAAAATGCCCACCTTCCTGAGAACATTGGAAAGGCATTTTATAGCCTGTAACCAAAGGACTCAGTTGAAGCTTGGCCAGTGGTCTGTGTGGGCAAGGAGAAAGGAGGTCAGGGTCAGCTTTCTCCCTGTGGCTGCTCTTTCTCTCAGGACTTTGACCCTAGTATGGCAAGCATGTCTTCCAGCCTTGAGGGCAGTAACCTCCGTTCTCTCCTCAGATTTCTCAGGTCTGCCAGCTGTGCCAGCAGTCCCCCCGGCTCTTCTCCAACCATGCTGCCCAGTTGCACACACTGCTGGTAATTTGCCCTGGGTGCTGGGCCCCACTCTTGCCAGAATCCTGAACCCAGAACATACCTAACAAAGAACATGATCCACCCTGAAAGAACAATTAGTGTCCAAATGTTCCCAGTGATCTGTGTTCTTTTGGGGGGGGGGGGTCGGCCATTCACAATAGTGTAAAGTCCATCCCAGAGGCCCAGATATACATTGTGCTTGTCTAGGGCCACTGTCAGCTGCCCTGGTTCTGACCTGATTCCCTGCAGCCTCGAGAGCTGCCCTACATCTGTCTCTGTCCTTGTAGGGCCTGTACTGTGTCTCCGTGAACTGTATGGACAATGCAGAAGCCCAATTCACCACAGCCTTGAGGGTAAGGCTGACTCCCCGAGTAGCGATGATGTCAAGTTTGCTAACCCCAGGGAAAATGGAGACCAGCTTAGGTCTGCTGCTAGAGCTGTAGGCTTTGAGCCCACAGTCAGCCTGACGTTGACCATGACAGTGACACAGTTCTTGTTGATGTGGGAGCTGGCTGGAGTGAAGGGTTCCTGGGCACCCTAGGCAGATATGAGGGAAGGACATATGTTTCAGGCCATAGGGACACTGGGTGGCTACTTGGATACTTGGTAAGTGCCAGAACACTCTCAGGCTGTGTCAGCCTGGGTTTTGAAGTTTGGTAGAGTCACATTGTGTGGGTGACCAGTGACTGAGATGTGCCCTTATCTTACCTAAGGAGGTAGGTATTCAGAGACAGAGTTTATCTCAGGGAGGGGTTCCCCCACAAGGCATCCACACCTTTAGGCTACTGACCTCCTACAGGCTCCTGCTGTCCCTGAGAAACTGGTCTATTTCTACCAGAGTGGCTCAGATGTCTCTTGGGCCAACTCACCTCCCAGCTCTGCTCACCTGGCCAGCATCAGGGAAGGCTACCTGGCCTTACTGTCCTTGAGAAAAGGGAGGCTACTGACCCATTCCCCAGGAAACCCCCAGTAGAGATTTGGGTGAGCAGGATTCAGTTCTGTGAGCAAGGTGGCTGGGGCGTATCTCTGACTGTAGGATGGGGGTTCCTTCCTTGGTATTCTCCATGTCTGTGGGTACTGGGTGAAGAGCCAACTGTCTGCCAACTCTGCCAGCTCTACCCTTGTCTCCCTGGGCCTCAGGCCATCCTGCTGCAATGCTAGAAACCTCACATTCTTTTTGGTTGTTTTACTTTCTGCATGTGGCTTTGGCTGAGGTCATGTGCTGAGGGGGTCCTATTGGAGAATCCATGGAAGGGGAAGAGCTAGGACAGATACAAACCCCATCCTCAAACACAGGATCCTCCTATTGCCCACAGCTGACAGCCCAGTGCTGTTGTAGTTCAGATCAGAGAAGGGTACTCTGGGATTTTGTGTGCCTGGACAGCCTACTGGCAGACCCTGTACTTCACTGGATATCCCACTACAGAGATCTGGGCTAAAAGGGCCCAGGCTGTTTAGAATTTCATATTCTTTCCTTCTTCCTTCAATCCTGTACTGGAGATTAAACCCAGAATTTCACACATGCCTGGCAAGTGCTATACTGCAGCTTCTGCTCATGGTTTTTAAGAGGATATCTCAGTTGCACAGGCTGGCCTTAAATTCTGATCTTGCCAGGCTGGGTGTGGTAGCACACACATTTAATCACAGCACCTGGGGCGGCAGAAGCAAGTGGACCTCGGAATTCTAGTCCTGGTCTACAAAGCAAGTTCCAAGACAGCCAGGTCTGTTACACAGAAAAACTGTATTGAAGAAACAAAAGAAAAATAAATTTCTGGCCGGCTGTCGGTGGCACATGCTTTTAATCCCAGCATTCGGGAGGTAGAGGCAGGTGGATTTCTGTGAGTTCCGAGGCCAGCCTGGTCTACAGAGTGAGCTCCAGGACAGCTTCCAAAGCTACACAAAGAAACCCTGTCTCAAAAAAAAAAACAAACAAAAAGAATTTTCTGATCTTTCCTCAACCTCCCAAATGCTGGGATGACCAGCCTCTACCACCACAACTGGCAGTTAACTTATTCTCTTAACCATATAATGTCCCACAATCTATAGTTCAATGGTAGAGAACATTCTTCAAGGCTTGGGTATACATCTGTTGGCTTGCAAAGAAAAAACAAGCCAGAGTGGTTGCAAGCCAGTCTGGGCTGTTTGTTAAGACGATGTCTTGTCATTATCCACTAGTGGTCATTGACAGGCTTAGGATAGCTAGCTTTCCTGTTCACTTTCTAAATGTCCCCTGATACAGCTGGTGGAGAAAGAGCTAACCTCCACTTTGTGCTTGGGTTTGGAGTGAGCCAGGAGAGTTAGAAAGGAGCCCTTGAATAGCTCTGTGTCCAGTCAGGTCCCAGCAAGGTGTAGCAGTGGCCAGGCTGGCTTCCTAAATACATGTCTTCCATTCCAGCTTACCAACCACCAGGAGCTATGGGCCTTTATTGTGACCAACCTTGCGAGTGTGTATATACGGGAAGGAAATAGACACCAAGAGGTAGTAGGTGACATGCTTCATGTTCGGTATCTTTTCTCCATCTCTTGCTCAGGGGGCTATGGGTGTCCTGGGCACTCACTCACAAACCTTAGAAAAGCCCACATGTTTAGCTTTTTATGAGGGTGCAGCTTTTGAGGGGTCCGGACAGGGACTGGGGCCTCACTCCTGCAGCCATGTGGCCTCTGTCCCATCATGAGCCACTTAGCTTTTTTTTTTTTTTTTAAAGAAAAAATGTGGTGCTAGGGTACAATCCAGGGCCTCTTCATGGTGCCAAGTGTTCTGACATACAGCCACACCCTAGCCCCAAATCAAGGGGAAGGAGGTCTGCCACCCTGACTGTCAAGGAGCTAAGGCAGAATTCTTGAGTCACAGGGATGCTATCCCTCCTAATGTCCCCACTCTCCTACATGGTTCCCTCAGATGGACAACCCAATCTTGAAGTTATTCTGGGTAGGCATGCTACATATTGTGTTAATCTTCCCACGGAGTCGAGGAAGCCCTATCCCCTGTAGTATGTTCAGGGCCTGACCTCCTTGGGGTGGAACGCAGCCCTGACTGACTGATGTTTCTCTATCAGCTGTACAGTTTGCTTGAAAGGATAAACCCAGACCACAGCTTCCCAGTAAGGTGAGTAGCCTGTGCCCAACACAGACATTCCACACCCCAATTGCTAATGGGTGGTATGTACTCCTGTGGGCCCCGATGAAAAGTTTCTACACCCCACAAGCCTTTTCTGCTGATGCAGCAATCCAAATCAGACCAAATCAAACCGAATTAGAAAAAGCCCACATTTAATGGATGCAATGCTCCCAGGTGGTCTTCCAGTCCCCCCAGAAAGAGATGGGAAAAGAAGACTGGAAAAACCACACACAAGTCTTTCTTTTCTTTTTCTTTTTTTTTTTTTTTCACAAGTCTTTTCTGGGAGGCAGTTTAAATACCCTATGGGAATGGTCTTGAGCATCTCTGGAGGAGTCATTATTTGGTGGGTTTTCTAAGATGCAGCAGGGTTTGGAGAGAGATAGTGGAGGGGGCTTGGGTAACATTCCAGACTGCCACAGGCTCAACATGGCTTGCACCTCATCCTTCAGACAGTCTGCTGGGGCTTCCTTTGGGAGATCTTTCTCCCATCCCCAACTGTGACTCTGCTTCCTCTCCTACAGCTCACACTGCCTGCGAGCAGCAGCTTTCTATGTGCGCGGACTCTTCTCCTTCTTTCAGGGCCGCTACAATGAAGCCAAGTGAGTTTGGGTTGGGACATCATGTATGATGGCCTCTCTTCCCTCAGGCCTCTTCTGCTTCTCTTTGACTGATATGCCTGCAGGGTGTCAGCATCTGTCCCCTTGTGCAGGCGATTTCTTCGAGAAACTCTAAAGATGTCAAATGCAGAGGACCTGAACCGCCTTACAGCCTGCTCCCTTGTATTGCTGGGTCACATCTTCTATGTGCTGGGGAATCACAGGGTAAGTCCCTGCCTGGCCAATGGGCAGGTGGAGGCCTGGGGAGCACCACTGTGGAGCTTGGTACTTCATGTCCTGAAATCCAGGAAAGCATATTGTGGAAAACTACAGTCTACTGACATGCAGGGTATGGAAAGCATGGGAGCCTGAGTGCTGGGATAAAAGGTATGTGCCGCCCACCGCCCATCTTACAGTTCTTTTTTGTTTTATTTGCTTTTGTTTTTTGAGACATAGTTTCTATGTATAACAGCCCTGGCTGTCCTGCAACTCGCTCTGTAGACCAGACTGGCCTGGAACTCACAGAGATCCGCATGCCTCTGCCTCCCAAGTGCTGGGATTAAAGGTGTGTGCCACTACCATCTATTGTTTTTTTTTTTTTTTTTTTTTTTTTTTAATTGTGGTTCCAGAGCTTTCTTTTTGCTCAGGCTGGCAAGAGGCACACTATGGTCCAAACATTGCCTCATGTGCAGAGTAGGGACAAGGATTCTCTTTTCAAGGTGGACAAGAACACTTCAGAGGACCTGGGCAGTGGTGACACACACCTTTAATCCCAGCATTCAGAAGGCAGAGGCAGGCGGATCTCTTGAGTTCAAGGCCATAGCTAGTTGCAGGATAGGTTCCAAAGCTACACAGAGAAACTCTGTCTCAGGAAAATAAAAAAGGGGTGGGGGTGGGGAGTACTTTAGAGGACCATTTTAGGTGGGCTCTGAAGTTAGAGTAGGAATTTAACCAGCAGCAGAACATAAAATGGGCAGGTGGAGTCAAAGCCATGCTTCCAAAGCCACCTATTCAATCTTAGCTTTTGATTGGCAGGAGAGTAACAACATGGTGGTGCCTGCCATGCAGCTGGCCAGCAAGATCCCAGACATGTCTGTGCAGCTGTGGTCATCGGCCCTCCTAAGAGGTAAGAGTGAACAAGGCTACCAGGCATGCTTGTGGAACCGTGATATCAAATGAGCAGGGGTACATCTCCAGGGGATTTTTATTTTTGTTTATTAGGGACAGAGTCTTGTTATGTAGCCCTGGCTGGCCTGGAATTCTATGTAGACAAGGCTGGTCTTGAACTCACAGAGATTTACACTCCTTTGACAAGCCACCATGCCTGGCTTTCCAGGGGACTTTGAAGGACTGTGGCAGGTGGGGCTGGGCTTCTCTGTTTATAGGGTTTTGTGGATGATGCTCCTGGGCTCAGATGAGTTTGGATTCTTGAGGGCAATTCCTGTATGCCCTGGGTGGTATGGGTCTGCCTACCCTGGCGATGAAGTAGACAATGACACCTGCCCCATCTGCCCCATCCTCAGATCTAAACAAGGCATGCGGGAATGCCATGGATGCCCATGAGGCTGCACAGATGCACCAAAACTTCTCACAGCAGCTGCTGCAGGACCACATTGAGGCCTGCAGCCTCCCAGAGCACAACCTCATTACGGTATACAGGGTGGGAAGCAGACATGGGGGTGAGGGACTCCAGCTCCTCAGGTGGAGAGGGCCTATGTCAGTTGTCCCTCTTTCTTGGAAGGGCCACCAGGCTTACCAATGTGTGTTCTCCCCACAGTGGACAGATGGCCCACCCCCTGTGCAGTTCCAAGCTCAGAATGGACCCAACACTAGCCTGGCCAGCCTCCTGTGAGCCCCACATGGCTTGTGTCCCCAAGTTGGACTCAACACTGGAGTTCTTGGGAACAAAACCACCAGGGTATCCACCAGCCCCTCACCATTGTCCAGACCTGAGTCCCAGGAGTACTGTAGCCATCATCTGCCTCTGAGGGTGACAGCCAATCCTGCCTGTACCAGGAATCAGTGCTATCTGTTGGAAGGGACTGATGGCTTAATCTGTGTTTGAGTCTCACCTGTGAGGAACAGGATGACAATCTGTCCAGGGTCTTCATCAGACTGCTCAACCAAGCCTTGGTGCCAACTACCTAAGTGCAACTGCACAAAGTGGCCTCCAGTCCAGGGCAATCTGAGGGGAGAGCAATAGCCCTTAACTTTCCTGCTGTTCTTCCAGTGTCCCTGCACTCAGGGACTTCTGAGGACCTGGAAGTCAGCCTCTCAACAACTGTTCCTGGAAGGGACCCCAGTGCGGGGAAGGAGCCTGGGACAAGGTGTGCATGTGCAGTTGATGTAGCTGAGACCTTGTGTCCCAAAATGCCCTCAGCAAGCTCCTTGCTCATATTCAACATCGCCCCTGCTGGGGCACTAGGCAGAAGTCCCACTGGACCTGAATGACGGCGCTTCCTTCCTGGCAGCTATGTGGCTTTTTCATAGAGGACAGTTATGGGACCACCTCAACTCCTTCTTTTGGCTTGAGGGCTGCACCAAGGGTGCCACAGTGATGTCAAGGGACAATAGTTCTATCAGCTTGTGGTACCTGGGCAGGTGCTCTTTGGTGGCAAAGGTGGTGCTTGGGAGCTGTCACCCAGGCACCACGAAGGCCACTTCTCAGAGCTTTGGAATCCATGATTGATGGGACAAGGCTTCAGGACCTTCGTGGACATCCTCACTGTGCCATGTGGCAGCCACTGCCCACGGCCAGGTGCTCCCAGCCTTTCTGTCTTCCTCCAGCCCCTTGGGTCCCAGGGACCCCCTCAGTGTCTGCATCACAGCCCTTCCTATTTATTTAAGTTTTTTTTTTGTTTGTTTGTTTGTTTTGTTTTATTTTTGCTTCTAGGGCATTTTGTACATAGAGCAATTCAAACAAGAACCTTGCAACTTAACATCTGTCCTGATGCTAGAGTACTTTTAGTGACCATGTCTCAGGCATGTGACACCTAAGGATGGGGTCTTGATAAACCCCACAATCGGTGTTAAGGGTTCCACTAAAGTGAAACCTCCCTGATCCCAGTGCAGTCACCACAGTGTCCACTAAGATTGAGAGAAAAGCCCAAAAGGGCCATCACACATGGATATTATGGCCTCAGAAGTACCAAGAGTCAGCCACAAACCACCCAGGAAGCCAGGCTAGGTGTAGCCCTATAAGTGGCTGTCACCCCTTGAGCCACAGGTGACTGTTGAATGAAGGAAGGCATGTCATGAGTGTGTAGAGAAAAAGTTAACATGGTGGCATTGCCTGGTTTTAGAAGCCTATGCTTTTAATCAAGAACTTAACAATTGTAATGGAAGAGTTGTGAGAAGTCTACATGTATTTGCTGGTCCCTTCCTGTGGGGAGGGCTGCCACTCCTGGTCTTTGCATTTTCCCACCTCCAGCCCTCCCAGCAGCTCCTCTACTGTGGTCTGAAGCCCAGGGACAGAGACACACAACCCCTTTCTGACTTAGTCTAGTGGGAAGATGGTCCACGGCCCTTTTTTCTGTTTGATTTTGGGTGGGTGGTTGATGGGTTTCTTTGTTTTTGCTTGTTTTGAGGGCTCTGCAATGCAGCAATGGCCAGCCTGAGTAACTCAGTTCTCTTGTCTCAGCCGCCCAAGTGCTGGGATTACATGCAGATTTCCACTATGCCTGGCTCTTTCAGTTTGACTATGGGGTTTTGATTGGAAGGGGACAGTGTTTGGAGCTTTTGTGTTTTCAGTCAGAATCTCTTGTTTATGAATGACCCTTAACTCTTGTTCTCCCCACCCCACTAACCTTGTAGGGTTTGATAAACATTTGCTACCATGCCTGTGTTACCTGGTGCTGCTTGGCAGGCAGTCTGCCAGCTGAGCCACAACCATGTCCCGTAGTCCTCTGTCTTGATATATTTGGTTTGGACCCTCTATGAAGGTCATTCCACTCTGCATTTCCAGCCCACAAGCCCCTAGACAGGCTGGCTCCTGTACCTGGGTGTCCCTCTGGTCTCCAAGTTCTTCAAAAGCAGAGGCCAGTTGGACGTGATGACTGACACCTGCCATTTGGAAAGCTGAGGTTGGAGGCTAAGGTGCCAGTCACAGCAACATGGTGAAATATGAATAAACCAGAGTGGGGAAGGCTTTTTGCTTTTGTTTTGTTAGTTGATTTTTTGTTTGTTTGGTTTTTTTGTGACAGGGTTTCTCTTTGGCTTTGGAGCCTGTCTTGGAACTAGCTCTTGTAGATCAGGCTGGTCTTGAACTCACAGATATCTGCCTGCCTCTCCTTCCCAAGTGCTGGGGTGCACCACCACCACCCGGCTGTTAGTTGAATTTTTACCTTTTGAGTTGAAATCCATATAAAATTAGACAGGTTTTGTTGACAGGTTATTTTTTTGTTGTTGTTGACTGATTTTGACAGAATTTTACTGTGTAGTCTTGAACTTGCAGCTGTTCCTCCCCAAATCTCAGCCAAGGGTAAGGTATGAGCCACTACTCATAGTTATAGATTGTTTTGTTTTTGTGGTTTGGTTTCAGGATCTCCACCACTAATCCTAAGACAGGGTTTCTCTGTAGCTTTGAAGCCTGTCCTGGAGCTCACTCTAGACCAGGCTGGCCTCGACGCACAGAGATGCACCTGCCTCTGCCTCAGAATGCCGGGATTAAAGGTGTTCAAGGCATGCGCCATCACCGCCCAGCCTTTTGCCTAGTACATTCTTATGCTTCAACCCTGAATTTCTGAGATAGGTGGCACCCTACTATGCCATCTCTCCAGCCGTTTTTTTTTTTTTTTTTTTTTTTTTTGGTGTGTGTGTTTTTTGCACTTTACCGGGGGTGGAACATGCCTATTACATGCTCAGCATACCTTCTCTATGAGCTGCCTTGCAGCTGCTCCCTGAAGTCACTGTCAAGACCTCTCAAGACCACAAGGACTCAGAGTGCCTCAGGGCGGAAACTCCACTGCCATTGTGCATTCCCAACCACTGTCCTTCCTGAGAGGGTTTGGATCCCAGCTGTGTCCCATTCTCCACAACTGTGCCTAACCTTGATTTCATCAATGTGAAGGTTATATCCTCAGAACAAGCAAACATCCTGGGTCCTACCTCACCAACCAGTATGTGTTTGTGGCCAGTCCACAAAGGAAAAGCTGCCCTATGGCAGCAGGTGTTCGCATCTGGGAGGTTTGAGTTTGTCATCAGCCTGTTCTAAGCTGTTTGAGAAGTTACCCTAGAGGTTAAGGAGTAGCTGCTTATAAGGGTGGCCTTCCATATCCAGTGGCAAAAACCTTACAGCCAGGCAAAGTGATGTATGCCTATGATCCCAGCACTTAAGAGGTAGAGGCAAGAGGAGTTCAAGGTCATTCTTAGGCCAGTCTGGGCTACCAAGACCTGTCTTTAATAAAATGAAACAGGAGCTGGAGAAATTGTTTAGTAGTTAGGTGGATATACTTGCTCATCCAGAGGACTTAAGTTAGTTTCCAGCTTGCATATCAGGCAGCTCACAACCACCTGTAACTCCAGCTCCAGGGGCTCTGGCACCCTCTTCTTGCCACTACAGTTACTTGAACACTTAGAGCAAATACACATAATAAAAGATAAATCTATAAAAAAGACCATAGTCAAGTTATTTATTCCATCCCTAGAAGCCACATTTAAAAAAAAAAAAAATTTGCTCAGAGGGTAATGGCACTTGCTGTCAAACCTGACAACTGAGTTTGTTGCCAAAACAGAACGGGAGAATCAGCTCCCAAAAGTTGTCCTCAGACCTCCACACGTACATCATAGCATGCAGACCCACAATTACACATGTTTAAAAAAACAAGAGACAAACAAAAACCAGACATGGTGGCTTAAGTTTGTAATCCTAGTACTGAGCTCATAAAAACAGGTGAATTCCTGGAGCTCATTGGCCAGCTGACTGAGATTAAGGTTCACCTCTGGCCCTGACATGTGTACACACAAACATGTACCAAAAACCTTGAATGTCTACTAGCTCTACAGACTGCAATCTTCAAGAATACACTGAAGCTAGGTGTTGTGTAAACAGGGTTTTGGCATCAGATATATAAACAGCATGATTGCTACAAGGTGTGGTTGAGAGAGAGGTTTTTGTAGCTATGAGAGTCCAGAGCAGAGAAAGCAGATGGAAAGTGGCCAGCAGACTGAACAGGACCATGAGAGGAGAGATGGAGAGCAAGAGGAGAGAATATTGAGACACAAGACAGGAAAACCAAAGAAACCAGAGTGTGAATATCCAAAGTGACAGGTTTGTAAGAAAATGAGAAGCCCATGAGCTGCGGAAGTTTGAGGTGGGAAGAGCTCCAAGTAGTTCTAAAACTGAGGGAGTCTGGAAGAAGCATATGCTTTGGTATGCTGGGGGTTTTGTTTGTTTTTTGACCTGACAGGCATAGTGGCACTTGCCTTTAATCCCAGCACTCAGAAGGCAGAGGTAGGTGGATCTCTGTGATTTTAAAGCTAGTCTGGTCTACATAGTTCCTGGGTAGCCAGAGCTGTATAGTGAGACCCTGTCTCAAAACCAAAATAGGGTCCATTGCTCTGCATGTCACCCAAGGCTAGGTCCCCACTCTAGTGGCAGTTTAGTGCATCGCTTACATCCAGAGCACACCTTAGAGTTTACATATAGCTCTGGTGACAGGTGTCTTCCCTCATTAAGCCCTAAGGGGTTAAGCACAAACTGTTCTAAAGTGTAGCTGTGACCCGGAAGTGCATCTTTCACTAGTCTCATCTGCTTGTTTGCTCCTGGGGGCAGGGATGTGCTCCTACATTGGCCACCAGAGGTCAGGACAAGCCCAGGAGTCAATACAGCTCAGCATGTGCCTGCCAGGTTGAAGGCAGAAGGGCTGTCTGAGAGTAGAAAGGCAGGAGAAGCAATGGAGATG